CATGAGCCACCGTGCCTAACATATTACAATTTTAGTGTGCTCTACAGAGAGGGCAAATAAACACATGTATTTGGCCTGACACTTTCTACAGAGGTCTGTAACTATTTATATGTCCATTTTCTTTCAAATGAGACTGTGAACTCCTTAAAAATAGAACTATATTCTCCTTATTCTTTTAGTACCAGTACCTAGAATAATACCTGGCACAGAGGACACACTAAAAAAATACTGTTAAGGCCCCGGCCTCACGGTGGCTCAAGCCTGTACTCCCAGCACTTTGGGAGGCCAAGACGGGCGGATCACGAGGTCAGGAGATTGAGACCATCCTGGCTAACACGGTGAAACCCCATCTCTACTAAAAAATACAAAAAAACTAGCTGGGCGAGGTGGCAGGCGCCTGTAGTCCCAGCTATTTGGGAGGCTGAGGCAGAAGAATGGCATAAACCCGGGAGGCGGAGCTTGCAGTGAGCTGAGATCCAGCCACTGCACTCCTGTCTGGGCAACAGAGTGAGACTCCGTCTCAAAAAAAAAAAAAAAAAAAAAAAAAAAACTATTGAATAAACGAATTGATGAATGAGTGAGCTCCTTGTATATCTTTCACCTGACATAGAGCTTTGAATATTGAAAGCACTTAATAATACACAAATTCAAAAAGGAAAACTTTATGACTGACATTTTGTACCTAAAATTTCAAATATATGGTTCTCAGGAGACTTGTGTACATGATAAGTATCACTTACATGGCTACAGCATTTAGGGTATACAATACAAACAGAATGTAGTCCTGTTAACTAAGTAACTGCTAAAAGTGAATTCTGATTCCATTGTTTGAAAAGTCTCCATCTTAATATGTTTTTCAAAAGAAATTTTCCCCATCCTTAGTTTTGATTTTTTTCTTTCTGAGACAGGGTCTTGCTCTGTTGCCCAGGCTGAAATGCAGTGGCACGATCACAGCTCACTGCAGCCTTGACTTCCTGAGCTCAAGGAATCCTCCCACCTCAGCCTCCCAAGTAGCTGGGGCCAGAGGCGTGAGCCACTATGCCTGGTGAGTTTTTCTTGTTTTTGTAGAGATGTGGGTCTCACTGTGTTGCCCAGGATGGTCTCAAATTCTTGGGCTCAAGCAATCCTCCCACCTTTGCCTCCCAAAGTGCTAGGACTACAGACATGAGCCATGGCAACTGGTGCTTTTTGATTTGTTGCTGTTGTTGTTGAGAATGTTGCCCAGGCTGGAGTGCAGTGGTGCAATCTCAGCTCACTGAAATCACTGCCTCCTGAGTTCAAGAGATTCTCCTGCCTGAGTCTCCCAAGTAACTGGGATTACAGGTGTGCACCACCACGTTCGGCTAATTTGATTTTTTTAATAGAAGAAGAAAGGTGTAGGAACATATTAACCACAAATTAAAAGACTATACAAAAAGCCACTGGCTGACTTGAGAACAAGTTTGTACACAGAGATGATAGTATTACAGAGCATATGTACTGAAATCTTCCACCCTCAATACACTAAAATACTGAAATTTTCATAGTAGTCATAGTTTTTATGTCACTTTAGAGTCAATATGCAGAATAATTACAAAATATTTTTCTAGGATCTGCTCAAGTATACAAAAATATAGTTTGTAATATATCAAATATATCTTATGAAATAAACTTAGCAATAAAGCAAATTTCTCCATCACATATCATATTTGCTTATTATTCTAGATAAGCTGGTTTCCTCCTTTCTTTTCAAAAAGCATATTATTATCACTTTAGTGCTCAAGCTGCCTAAAATGCCTTCTTCCCTCCCTCCTATTCAATTTCTGTCCATCTTTCAAGGTCCAGTCTAAGCTTCCTTTTCTTTCTTTTTAAGTTTTAAAATATTTCTCAAAAAAAATAGAGACAGGGTCTCACTATGTTGCTCAAGTTGGTTTTGAACTCCTGGGCTCAAGCAACTCTCCTGCCTTGGCCTCCCAAAGTGCTCGGATTATAGGCATGAGTCACTGCGCCCAGCCTAATCTTCCTTTTCAATGAAAGCTTCCTTCCAACGAGAGCTTCCTAGCCTCTTTCTGATGCTCTGTAGCACCTTTTTGAACCATACATCCCAACACCTGATTACATTCTATAGGATCCCACCCCCTACTTGTCTTCCCAGCTAGATTGTAAGCATCTTGGTAGCCAGGGCGCAGCCTTCTTTCCTATATCTCATAATTTCTAGTACCACTTTGGACACATAGCAGATGCTCAAGCAAAATTTTCCTTTATTAAAGCTATAAAAATAGCTTTGTTTTTACTATGATTATAAAAACGTTATATGCTCATTATAAAAAAACCCAGACAATATAAAAATGTGTGAAGAAAAAAAGTAGTCTCAACACTAAGAGAAAATCATTCACAACATTTCAGTAAACCTCTTTCCAAATATTTTTGTATGTATGTAAACATATAAAGACATAAAGACACATAATTTTATATAAATAGTACTCTACCATCATGCTGTTCTTACAATAAATATAAATGTTCAGTGTCCGCCTAGAATATTATCACATATTTGCTCATCATTGCTTTCTCAATTTAATTTTAAAAGTAGAAACGTACTTTCAAGGAATTATTGGCCAATTAGCATAATACATAAGGCTCTGATCACTGAAATTATATATTTTTCAGACTATGAATTCTTTTGTCATCACATCTATTGTAATTATAACATAAATTCATTTTTTCATCCATATATGTGTGTGTGTGTGTGTGTGTGTGTGTGTGTGTATTTACTAATTAAAAGAGAGCTGCAATACATCCATATATTTTAAAAGATATTGGTCACCTGGTAAACACTTTTGTGGATTACTCATTAATCCTCATACATTTCGTTATACATCTTTCCTGAGGTTTCAATTAGCTAATATGTCTTCATATTCCTTCTTCAAGTGACAAAGCTGATGATAATTACTTTCCTATATCGGTTTCATCTCAATTGGATGGCCTCTTGTTTAAATGACAGTGGTGATGGTAGAGCCTATGTTATATAATTTGTCCATGTAAAATCCATCATATTGAGTTTTTGAGAAATGGTAATTTACAGCTCTAAAGGTTCTTTTTGGTCCTGTGCATCTAGAAAAACAGCTTGCAACCTACTAAGTTCCTTCTGGTCATGCCAGATGAGAATTTCCAGACTGTTTTTCAAATCAGGGCAAGGGGAAAAGAACAGAACAGGGAATCCTTGGCTGCCCCAGCCAGCTTCAAAGAATTCAGTGTGCTGGGAACAGCAGCCAACTGGGTGCGACTGACTGCACCCTTGCTCCAAAGCCAGAGAACAAAGATGAAGAGTGAGGAAATTAAGGAGATTCTTGAAGTGACTTCCCAGGAGGAATCTCAGACCAGCCACACCCAGTCCCTTCATCTTAGTAAATAACTCAGCAAAACTGCAAATGGGCTTAGTGGAGTCCCTGAAGGAACCTCTCCCACAGAGTGGGGGATTTCTTCCTCACTGCTGCTACATGCAACTTCCCCAAACCCAAGCTTGCCTGCAGGGGAAGTGTGTGCTCTCCCCAAGTCACGGCATGTTTATTATATGATGAACAAACAAACAGCAAATGGTTCTTGGAGGGTTTTCTCTATTTCCTGGCAGCAGAAAGAAACCAGCTGTCTTACGGTTTAACTGGGGTTTTGGCTTTTTTAATACAGTTTTTAAAGTTTTTAGTGGAAATCCTATTTTCTGTCTTTATCTGATGGTTAAATTGAAATCTGAAGTGCTCCCTCCAAGACAGGCTGAACTGATTGGTAGTGGACTATATAAATAAGCTCGACCCAGCAGGCATTCATTGCTTTATTCACCCAGTATTTATCAAGCACCTACAATAAGCAAGGTTCAGAATGGGGATCGAAGATAAAGTATGCAGTCTTTGCCCTCAAGGGAGCTAACAACGATCATTATCACAATGATAAAAGCAACAGACTTTGACAGAGCAGTTTTTACATACCAGGATTACAGAATGCTCCAGTTAGTTATCAAATCTAGTTTTCACAACACTGAAGTAGTATATTGTCCATTTTATAGATGAGAAAACTAAGGCTTGGAAAAATTAACCTGACCTTGGTCACACAGCCATATCCAATAAAAAAGGCACTTGAACGTAGGGCCATTTGACTCTAAAGTCTTTCTCTTTAGTGCCTCACACAGAGGTAAACAGTTGATATCACAAATTTACAATCTAGATGGGGAAAAAGGAAAGATAAAAATCCACTTATTCTTAATTCCACACAGCATTTTATGAAAGGGATTATGTATTTGCCAATAACTAAATATAAGGTATGACAGGACAAGTGCCCTAAGAGGTCGCTTTTGAATGGAGGCAGGGGAGGGAAAGGAGAGGAGGAAATGGGAATCTACTTGAGCTGGGTCTATTTGAGGATGGGCAGGACTGTGACAGACAGACACAGGGGAAAGTTCTACATGGTGGGAAAGCAAAAACAGAGTTGTGAAAGGGGGAAAGCACAGAGTGTTTGGGGAAAGTGAGTGTTTCTGTGTGGCTAGAGTATAGTCTTATGAGTAGGAGAGTAGTGGTTGGAAAAGCTGGTGTTGGGTCATGAGTGGTCTTATGATAGTCATAAATTCATATTTCATTAGTAGGCAATATAGAACCATTGACGTTCTCAGCAGAAGTGACAAGCCCAGGGCTGTGCTTCAGAGAATTACATTTCCAACAGTCTTGCAGGAGTTCTCAAGCTTCAATGTGTATGAGAACTACCTGCAGAGCATTTAAAATGCCTGGGTCCCAACCAAAAGGATTCTGATTAAAGTGGCCTGGGGTGGGACCTGGGCAACAGTATTTTTTAAAAGCACCCTAGCTGATAGTAATATGCAAGCAGGGTTGAAACCACTTAATGTTTCCCAAACTTGAGTGATCCTAAGAATCATCTGAAATGCTTTTTAAAATTAATTCCCGGGCCCCTTGCCTGCTGGCTGTGGTCGAGTAGGTTTGAGGTGGGATCAAGGAATCTGTCTTTTTGACAACCTCCACAAGGTGTCTAATTAGCGTTCTAAATTAGGGTCAGGCAGTAGCAGTGGGAATCAAGAGCAGGTTATGCCAAGCAAAATAAAACTGGAAAATATTAAATTTTCAACATTATTTATATTTGCTTTTATATACGTCCAGCTTTAAACCCACCAAAACAACCAAATTGGAGTATGGTTTATTAAACTGACATCTTTAACCTAAGGTGGTTTTATTTGATTCATAGTGTATAAACTTTAACTTAATCATTTACTTTTGTTTCTAACAGAACAACAAGAGCAAGAGATTTCAGAAGCCTAAGAGGTATCATTCAATTTCTGGTACATCTAGGTATCATTTATCTACCTATCTATCTATCTATCCATCCATCCATCCATCCATCCATCCATCCATCCATCCATCCATCCACACACCCACCCTGTTTGAGATGGTGTCTCACTCTGTTGCCCAGGCTGCAGATCAGTGGCTATTTACAGGCACAATCATAGTGCACTTATGGCCTCGAACTCCTGGGCTCCTGGGCTCAAGTGAGATTACAGGCATGTGCCACTGTGCCTGGCTTGGTAGATCTACTTTAGAGAATGGGTTTAATAATGTTGTGTGTTACAGTCTCACTTCGGCCTAACTTTAAAATTAAAAAACAATGACAACGGTCGGGTGCGGTGGATCATGCCTGTAATCCCAGCACTTTGGGAGGCCAAGGCAGGTGGATTACGAGGTCAGGAGTTCAAGATCAACCTGGCCAACATGGTGAAACCCCGTCTCTACTAAAAATACAAAAATTAGCTGGGCATGGTGGTGCATGCCTGTAATCCTAGCTATTTGGGAGGCTGAGGCAGGAGAATTGCTTGAACCAGGACCCAGGAGGCGGAGGTAGCAGTGAGTGAGATCTTGTCACTGCACTCCAGCCTGGGCTACAGAGCTAGACTCTGTCTCAAAAATAAATAATAAATAAACAACAACAACAACAACAAACTCTTGTACTTTCAAAGAACTTCCAAAATCTGCTTATTATGTCCTTCAAAGCATGAAACATCCAATAAACAAGTATTATACATCCCTCTCTAATAAGAATTATTATTTTAAAATTTTAAACCAGGTGGAGTAACTATTTTTTCTCTTGAAGATAGGTAAAATGGAACTTAACTTGTAGCTACTTTACCTTCATCTGTAAAACAATGAAAGAAGAAATAAAATCACACTGGCAATGCATTCTTATGCCTTAACTACTACAATTACATTTTGGGCTAGAAAATTATACATTCATCTCAGAGACTAAATGACACAAAATGTATATATGTTCATTTAGCAGCAGAGCATAATGGCTAGAACATTTGACTGGCAACCAGAAGACTTGAATTTAGTCTTGGTTTTACAGGTACTACCAAGTGATTAGGAGACCTTGGCTTCAATTTTTACATTTACACAATGGGGAAGGGTTGAAGTAGATCAGTAGTTTTCAAACCATGTTCCACAGAAGCTTAGAATTTTGCAGAGGCACTTAGAAGTTTCTATAAAAGTTTAATTTCAATTCTCATTAAAAACATACTTATATTTAAAGTCTATAAGAAAAATGAAATGTACACTAAATATGTTGCACAGTAAATTTTAATGTATATACATTATCAACCTGTGCTCATAGGTTAACTCATTGGTGGAATTTCTCCTACTCCACAAATATACATATATTTGCAACTGTAAATATACCACTGATTAGGAAGTTTTTATCTGCTCTCGTCTTTTTCTTTTCTTTTTAATCCAGGACTATATTGGCATAAAGGCTGAGATTACATAAAATCTTTATACTGGATGAGAAGACAGATGTTGTCAAGTTCTCCTTTTACTTACATGATCTGGGTATGGAAGCAAATGCAAAGTAGATTTATTATTTTATAAAATGCTTGATAATTACAAAATGGAAGTCTTTAAGTGTTAAGATACTAACAAAGGAGTATGAGGTAGTCATATTTGTACCGTGACTGGAAAGGCAATGGCAGAAAAAAATTCAAGGAGTAGAGGATCATATAAAAGAGAAGGCCAAAAATACTGTGTAGATAAGCACTAGCAGTTAAAATTATACAAGCAGTTTTCTTTTCTTTTTTTTGAGATGGAGTCTCGCTCTGTCACCCAGATTGGAGTGCAGTGGCATGATCTCGGCTCACTGCAACCTCTGCCTCCTGGGTTCAAGCAATTCTCCTGCCTCAGCCTCCTGAGTAGCTGGAATTACAGGCATGTGCCACCATGCTCCACTAATTTTTGTGTTTTTAGTAGAGATGGTGTTTCACCATGTTGGCCAGGCTGGTCTTGAACTCCTGACCTCAAATGATCTGCCCACATCAGCCTCCCAAAATACTGGGATTATAGTCATGAGCCACCGTGCCTGGCCAAAATTACACAAGCAGTTTTCAAAATTAACATTTACATTTTAAAAAATATTACACTGGATAACATACAGATTGATACAGGCTGTCAATTTTATTAGGACAAAGTCTTTAAGCTGCAGATCTTTCTGAGTTATTTGCAGGGATGTAAGCAGTTGTATCAAAATGTATTCTTTTGTACTAAAGTTTCCTGATTGACATAAGGCAGGTATCAGGACAATTGTAAAAAAAAAAAAAAAAGTAATTGCAAATATTTCTACCTTAAACTAAAATCCATTGAATAAAAGTTTATCAATGTGGAAATTTTACTGATATTTTAAATAAATTAGATGGCTCAGTTTGATAATGCAGGGCAACACGGCCATACTCACAACTTCAGATAAAATGTTAATGATGAATCAAAACAGGTTTTGGACTCAACATGCAAAATAAAATGAATCTTTCTGTGATGAAACTGTGAGTTAAAAAGAAGACCTCTGTATTAGTCTGCCCAGGCTCCATAACAAATACCATAAACTGAGTGACTTAAACAGCAGAAATTAATTTTCTCACAGTTCTGGGGACTAGAAGTCTAAGATCAAGGTGCCAGCAGAGTTGGTGTCTGGTAAAGGCTCTCTCCTTGGTTTGCAGACAGCTGCCTTCTTACTGTGTCCTCACATGGAGGGGCATGGGCAGCTCTCTGGTATCTCCTCTTACAAGGACACCAGTTTTGGTGTCTCTTCTTGCAAGGATACTAATCCTTCCTATCTGATGAAGTCCTACTCTTATTACCTCATTTAACTTTTATTTCTTCCTTACAGGAGGAATTTCTTCAAATATAGTCACATTGGAGGTATAGCTTCAACATGGGAATTTGGGAGGCAGACACAGTTCAATCGTACTAGCCTTTGAGTTATCTGATATTTTCAAAAAATAACACCATTGAACAACTTATATATGATGTTATACTATACATTTATTTGTCTCCAAAAAATAAAATTTTTAAACTAGCTGAGAAAATTTGTTGACTTCTCCAGAGTGATTACTCATTAATTAGGAATGTGAGCAACTCAGCTTTGAAACACAAATTTACTATCACTCCCTTTCTGAACATTAGTAAAGCTAAAAAAAAGATTAGTCAAAATGTTAAAAACAAATCTATTAGTATTTGAAGCTACTTATCTGTATGAATCTCAATTTTTTCACACACTTTTACCTTAAAACCAAATAAAAGTCCTCAACCTCATCAATAGGTTCTTGGAAACTGACTTTAAGTGAAACAAGGTATAATAAAACCAATTTCATCCTAGGCGAATTGACATAAACAAGAGTTAAGTTCCTATGGCATATTTCTGGTCACAAATAATCACCCAACTTCTAAATGAAGACCCCAAACACCTCTAATATTAAACATTGAAATAAATGTGGGCCATACATACATTTAAGAAAGGTTAATAACAACAAGTAAGATTACCCAATTTTTGGTGAATCACTGAATGACGACAGTTGTAGTGGTGGTGGATTAAATCAAGGAATAGATGTTTGCAAGTAGAAAAATTTAAAGAGCACCTCTTCCTACCAGGAATTACAAAACAATCACGAATATGGTGGGCTGGCTGAATGCTTTCATACTGCATCACTTATTGTTGTGCAGTTGTATGATTATCATCTACTTTATAAATCTGTATTTGATAACAGTTTGTATTCATTCGTTTTCCAACCTGCTTATTCCAGCTTAGGGTTGCAGGTGGCCAGAGCCTATCCTGGAAGCCTGAGACACAAGGTGAACCGCCCTGGACAGGACATCATTCCATCTCAGGGAGCACACACACACACCAACATTCACTCACACTGGGACCACTTAGTCACACCAATGAACCCAACACATACATCTGTGGGAGAAAACTGGAGTGCCCAGAGAAAACCCATGCAGACATGGGAAGAATGTGAAAACTTCACACAGACAGTGGCCCCAGCTGGGAATCAATTTTTTTTCTCATCAATGTTATAATGCAATTATGTTATTTGAGGACCTGCTGTACTGAAAAACTTTTCCCCTAAGATCAGGAACAAAACAAAGATGCCTGCTTTCACTACTTCTATTCATCATAGTACAGGAAGCTCTAGCTGGAGCAATTAAGGAAAAAAAAAAGGCATCCAAATTAGAAAGAAATAAAATAACCTCTGTTCACAGATGATATGATATTATATGCAGAAAGCCCTAAAGGTTACACACACACACACACAAAAAAAAACTGTTAGACCTAATAAATGAATTCAGCAAAGATGCAGAATACAAAATCAAGACACAAAAATCAACTACACGCTGGGGTGGTGGCATGTCCCTGTAATCCCAGCTATTTGGGAGGCTGAAGCAGATGAACTGCTTGAACTCGGGTGGCGGAGGCTGCAGTGAGCCGAGATCACACCACTGCACTCTAGCCTGGGCGACAGAGTGAGACTTTGTCTCAAAAAAACAAAAATCAATTATATTTTTATAAATTAACAATGAAAAATATGAAAAGGAAACTAAGAAAAACAATTCCATTTACAATAGCATGAAAAGAATAAAATACTTAGTAATAAATTTAACCAAGGAGGTGACAGACTTGTATACTGAAAACTACAAAACATCGCTGAAAGAGGCTGGGTG